GGGGGCATACCTGGACCCCACTGGATGAAGAAGCGGGCCTGTAATGTTACTTCGAGCACTGGATCCTGTGCTCTGCGCCCACCTTGGCACATGGTGCAACGTGTTAGGTTAGCTGCAGGTCCAGGGCAGTGGCATATAGACCCAGTCCCTGAAGACATTCTCCTGAAAGAGGGGGTATGCTCGAACAAAGTGAGCAAAGTCAGGGTACTTTACTTTGATAACATCAGGAGGAACGCATGGTAGGTAAGTCCTTGCCCTGTCTCCTCCTTGGGGTCCCCTTAGTCCTGCTGCACTGCCACGTTTGCCAGATTTGGATCTCAATTGGCTTTTGTCAGCGGAGCTGGGCTGAGAATTGTGCGCTGAACAGTGACTGCAGCCAATTAGCTGTGTATTCTGACAGCAGTTGTCAGAATACAGTAGACTGGCAGGGGAGATTCCCCCATCCATGCTCTATACGTGGATGACTCCTCCAACAGCTGACACTTCTGGTGACGCAGTCCAGTATTCTTATGAGGTCACTTCCGGTGACGAGGTCCAGCATTCTTATGAGGTCACTTCCGGTGATGAGGTCAAGCATTCTTATGAGGTCACTTCCGGTGATGAGGTCAAGCATTCTTATGAGGTCACTTCCGGTGACGAGGTCCAGCATTCTCATGAGGTCACTTCCAGTGACGAGGTCCAGCATTCTCATGAGGTCCAGAAAAATTATAGAACACTGTCGCTTCTGCCTGCTTGTGTTCAGCCCGGCCTGCCCAGATTGCTATTGGGCATTCCAAGGTGATCTGGGCCAGCCAGGCCTATATTTGGTGGTGGGCCTGGAGCTGGTGCTCCAGGACCCTCTTTGTTAATCCGGCCCTGACAATAATATACAAAGGAGTTCTGCTCTCAATAAATCAGTTAATTGTCAAATAACAGCAAACCTGACACACAGGACGTTTCTGGTTTAAATACAAAATCGTGTCTGACTTACATGCAGGTTTCTGTGTTCCAAAATGCAGCTCCAAGTCCAGATACTTCACCATATCGCTCAATTTTTCATAGTCAGAATCCTCCCTCAGCTGCAGAGAAGAGTAACAAGTTAACCTGTAGACAATGCTGCGTGATGATGTTAAGCTGGCTGTACTTGTAACAATGGTGGCCATTGGAACAAGAAGTTAAGGGAAATCTTCTTAGGGGGACAGATGTCGCAAAGATGGGACTTGCTCTCACTTTATATGATTTCCACTCACTTCCTGGTGTCTATCTGGAACAGGAAGTTATGGGAAATCTCAAAAGGTATAAAACTCAGACAAAGGTCCTCATCCTTCACCACTTTATCCTAATCCACAAAATAAGTTTTTGGTGTAATAACTCGTCACGTACAGTGTACGTGACAAGTCATTTGGTCCCTTTGTGGCTGGACGTACAGTGTACGTCTCCCGTCACGAAGGGGTTAAGGTCAGACTCCAGCAAACATTAAGTATAATAAACCTGAAAGGCATATGTAGAGCACAGTCTACCTGCTCAGGGTTTCTTATTTTATGAATGCACAGCTTAACAGCACCAGTCCACCTGATTGCTGAAAACGTACACCGATCAGCCACGAGATTCTGGCCACTGAGAGGTAAAGTGAATAACATTGTAATTAATGTAATCTGGTTACAATGGCACCTGGGAGTGTGGGGGATATATTGGGTGGCAAGTGAACATTTTGTCCCTTAACCTTCCTGGCGGTCTGATTTTCCCAATATTTTTTGCTTTTTTTGTGGCTATTTTTTTTTTGTTTTCGATTTTTTATTTAAATTTCCCGCCGGTTCCGCCCCCCTGCGACGCGGCCGCTCGCAAGGGACGGAACCCGGAAAACGGCATCGGCCAGAGGACACAGCGCGGCTCGTAGGGGGAAGGTAAGTGAAGCGCTGTGTAATCCCGAGTGTGGCTCAGGGTTACCGCTTTTGGTACTGAAAATTAACCCCAAGCCACACTCTGGAATACTGCCAAGAAGTTTAAGTTGATGTGTTGGAAGCAGAAAAAATGGACAAGTGTAAGGATTTGAGTGACTTTGACAAGGGCCAAATTGTGATGGGTAGACGACTGGGTCAGAGCAACTCCAAAACTGCAGCTCTTGTGGGATGTTCCCGGTCTGCAGTGGTCAGGACCGAAAATGTTTTACTTGGCCTCCAAATTCTCCAGATCTCAATCCAATTGTGCATATACAGGATGTGCTGGGAAAACATGTCCAATCCATGGAGGTCCCACCTCGCATCTTACAGGACTTAAAGGGTTATTAAACCCTCACATGTTTTTGCATATATTTACCGCTAGCAAGCATCTGAAAATTTCTCTGGCTGCGCAAAGGATCTTGGGGCGGGCACATGCACAGTTCAGATGTTTGGCTGGGAGACGAGGAGAGACATAAGGTAAGTCTATGGAGCAGCGTGCACCCGCTCAGACTCCGTGGGACATGAGAGAAGAGGAGGACAGAGGAGTCAGCGCTGGATCAGAGACCAGCACACAGCGCTGGAGTGACAGCTGAAAACTACACTAAAGTAGAAGATGATTGGATTAAGAGGCATCATTTAAGGTAAGTCTCTACACTAACATTGGGGGAGGGGAAAAAAATTAGCCTTTAATGTCACTTTAAGAATCGGTTACTGACGGCTTGGTGCCAGATACCGCAGCATACCTTCATGGGTCTAGTGGAGTCCATGACTACATGGGTCAGGGATGTTTTGACAGTAATAGGGGACCTACTCAATAAAAGTGGTCACAATGTTATGGCTGATGGGTGTATTTGTTGATACTTCATATTCTGGGAACACCATCTTTTTCTCCTTCTACTATGCCTGAAACATGTTAATTATTTGGAGTTGTTCCTTAAATAGGAAGAGAGGGCAAATCTTGAAATGGGGAGAATTGTTCCACAGAAAACTATCTAAGAGGAGATTTCCACTATTTGGGAGAAATTTCTTCTTTCATCCTATGGTTTCCACGGAGGGAGACATAAAGGTAATTCTCCCAAACAGGACACACATGGCAAAAAATACATAAATTAAGTTTTAACCCTTTTCTACCCTAAACATTAAAAAAAAAAAAGAGTTTGGGCTTTAGATATACGGTACTTCATCTTTTTTAAGCAAAACTATAACTTGAACTCTGCACACACTTACATTTTATTGGACTTTATGTATGTGAATGTGGATGTGGAGGAATCAACTGGGTGAACCCATCAAGTTCCAAACTCAACACACAAGCTGCCCGCACTCTTGCAAAGCAAAGCCTTATTTTGAACAGGGTAATGGCGCTATTGCAAGGCTGCTAAGACTCTCTTTGTCAGATTGCTAATGCTTGCCCTTTATGTACTATAGCTCATGATGTTTTATTTCACATCTGTCATTCGGTGGAACCAATCTGTCACTATGGGTGAGAGCCAGCTTTAGGTGGATTCAGGAACAAACAAGCAGATGGTCAAGGCAGGTGGCAGACAAACAAGCTTGCCAAGAGCAAGGGCAGGTGTCCGAATTCAGTCCAAGTCATAAACAGAAAGCAATCCAAATAGCAGAGTAGCCAGACAAGTATCAAGCAGACAGAACCATTGATCATGCAGCGGCTGAATGTGCTGAAGTCCATTTAAACACTCCTGATGAGGGCAAGTGTGTGCTGCAGCATGAACTGAGTTGTAGGACTGAGTAACACTAACCACCAGCAGACAGGGACAGCTTAAGTCTGATCTTTACACTTACACTTGCAATATTAGACTTTTAATTGCCTATCAATAAAAAAATAACATAGAAAGATGAAATATGTTAGCACCAACCTGTCCCCATATCGTTCCCTCCGAATTTTCCACTTGCTCCCAGCGTAGCCGCTTCACGCTCATGTGGCTGGATTCACTCCGCCGGTGCATGCTGCGATGTGCCAAGGGCTCTAAAGGGGGTGCAGGAGGAATGGGAGGAACAGGAGGAATGGGGAGCGGAGGAGGGGCTGGAGGTAAAGGGTGCAGACAGCTCCCCACAGCCCGGGAATAGGGAGGAGGGAGGCCTTTAGAGGTTTCTTTCTTGACTTCTACCCTGGGATGGTGTGGCGGAGGAGGTGGAGGCGGGCTGGGAGGTGGTGGTGGGATGTGATCAGACACTGATGAATAGGTGAGAGAGCTCCCGTCTTCGCTGCTGCCCATTGATTCGCTGGTAGTGCTAATATCACGTGGGCCACAGCTCAATTGTTCATCCTGAAATGTCATCTGTAGAAACAGCAAAAGATGTTTTAAACATGCTACAGGATTAATGTCGCATTTTATTTTCTACTAAAATTGCATAACAATGTAGATTCTGGGTTCCCACATTCTGCAATACATGCTCAAGCTGGCCAACTGTGTCAAAGTGATCCCTCTCTGGCCAACTGCGTCAATGTGAACCCTCTCTGACCAACTGCAGCAAAGTGATCCCTCTCTGGCCAACTGTGTCAACTTGATCCCTCGCTGGCCAGACACTACTCTACTGTTCTAAATACCAAATGCTTACTTGCTTATTGCATACTCCAATGGACATATAGTGACCACATATTAACACTGAAGGTCAGTGACTAGACCTGAGTCTGTAGCTCTCCTCCAGCTGCATCTGTCTACCCCATATTGGCACTATATGGCCATTAAAGTATGCTTTAAGTAAGTATTTGCCATTTTGCAGAGTAGAGTAGGGACTGGCCAGAGAAGGATAACTTTGACATAGTTGGCCAGCTTGAACATGTATGCACGATATTCTGCGAACTAGGAATCCCTGTTTTTATGCAAATGTTTGTTAGAAATATGTAAGAGTGTATAACAATGTGCAGAGGGTTAATTCAGTATTTTTAATGAATAAGGTTCACACCATATTAATAAAAGGCTAAGCTTTAAGAACATGGCACCATGACCTCAAATTAGCAGGAGAAAAATGTAAGTGTAACTAGAGCAGTAGTAGTAGGGCGTGTGAATGGGATTTGGCCAGCTATATGCTGTATGTCTTTCTATGCAATCAGTCTTCTAGGCTTCTAACAGATTTCCCCTCTAATCCTCCAATGGGGACTCTTTTTTTGGAGAAATCTCCTCTCCCCATCCTGTAGTCTCTCTAGACTTTAAGTGAAGTAAAAATCTGCTTGATTTTGACCATTAGAACTGTCTTAGATTGGCATGGCTGCTGTGCTGCACAATGTTTACAGTGTACCTGTCGCCCCCTTTACGACCAGAGCATCCCAGGTTGCCAAGAGCCAGGGCTTGGTTGCCAGAAGCTCAGTGGGATGCTCTTGCCAGCGTTCCGCCCAGCTCCTGGCACAGCCACAGCCAGAGCCATAGCTGACCCCCCTCCTTATTGTGCAACCCCAGCAACCCCCCTCCTAATCGTGCACCATCAGTGCCCAACCCCACCCCCTCCCGGCCTCAGGTGACAAAAAGTATAGGGACACCCCTGTTGACCATTCCTATGAAACCTAATTTTAAAAATGTTGACTTTAGAGAATATTCTTTAACTAGTTAGTTGAGATTCCAGATACACATTTTTGTATCTTTATGGACATGTCTTAAACCCTAAATGAATGCTGAACAGATTTTCACATTTTAGACACCGTTCTTGACTTGTACAGCTCCTACAGCATTATATGCTCTGTCTCTCTTGCTCTTGCTCCTCCCAAATAAAGCATTACGTTCTTAGAAGAGGAGGTATTCCAATATCATAATGTCCAACACAAATCTATAATGATGATATGCCATGAAAGTCTACCAGCTAAAAATGCCCCCATGGTGCCAGTTCCACAGATGCATGTATGTTATTGTAGGTGTATGGTAGGTTTATTACCTGTATAATAGCTACACATTTTCCCCATTAGTAAGAAATAAAGTAATCTCATATAAACTTTATTTACACAATGTCACCCCATTCTAAGCCTGGTTAGTGGCAGTAAATCAAGAAAGTGTTCTGGGCAAAAGGGATGAACCTAGCAGAGGGATTGTTGTTTTGGGTACCAAGGCACCTGGACCCATTGATGTAAAGACCAACCCTTGGTGCCTTCTAGCACCTTTGTAAAGCCTTAGATTATTTCTGCAGCCTCAAGAAAGCCCCAAGTCCTGGGCACACCATACAATTCAATCATCATGTTGCCGCAGAAACATCTGTATGATGTTGCCATTTCCTTAAAGCTCCATTCCTATATGCTATGTAATTACTTTAATAAAACGAATGCTGAAATGTTCCATCGGAGGCAGCATGGGGTCTGCTTTATATGCAGAGATACCTTTCAACTGTGCAGATCACAAAAATAGAAAGGAGAGATGGTTTCTTGTTTCCAAAACTATATAGAAGCTTTTGTCTCCTCTCAACATCACCTGCATCTCCTTCCCTCTACAACTCTCTTGCTAAGCTTATTAAGATGTGTGTAGAGGTTGACAGATGAGGGAAAGAAAATAGGAAACAACTTACCACACTTCCTGCATTTTATAGCTTTGTGTTGCTCCCTTTAACCCCACTGCTCTAGCAATTGGTCACCAGTGGCCTTATACTAAATACTGGAAATCACTGGACCTGCAAGGTGGATAAACCAATTGGTGTGGATGGCCAACTATGATGGGAAAGAGTGGTTAGAGGTGATCTGATTACTTGACAGGCAGCATCTACATGCCATAGGATCTCCACTCTCTCCTTAGTTTGTAGTGCTAAATTGCAGTATTGTGAATTGAAGTGCCACACTAGTCCAGATACATCTCTATTCAATGTAGGGTTGAGCAGACAGTGTAGAGTAGGGATGCACCGATACTGGTTTTTCGGTATGGAGTACAAGTACCGATATTTTTTTTTTCGGTACTCGCTAATACCAGAAGTCCCATTTAGGAAGCCGGGCGACGTGTAATGACTCGCTGCCCAGCTTCTTGATTAGCCGGGAAACCGTCTCCATGCTCCCTCGTCACCAGGTGACGAGGAAGAATGGAGCCGCCTTTCTGGCCAATCAGGAAGCTGGGACTCGTGTAATATCTCGCTGCCCGGCTTCCTGATACCGGAAGTTCTGGTATTGAGATAGGCATCGGGCGAGTACTCAATACTAGTATCGGTATTGGTGCATCCCTAGTGTAGAGAGAGCCAACATGTTTTAGAGGCTTATAAAAATGCCCCCTTCATCAGGGCCTACTAAGGGAAAACATGTATCAGGACTGTGATGGCCTGAATTTGGATGTCATTTTGTCCAGGGCTTGAGAATACATAGAGCTCTTCAGCAGATGATTGGCCCAATCAACTGCTGAGGAGCTCTATGGATTTTCATGCACTGGACAAAATGGAATCCGATTTCAAGTCATAGCAGTCCTGATATATCTTCCTATGCTAAATAAAGACCTGACTGTGCAGAAGCCTTGATGTCTACTTTAACTCTGAACTATGCCCATGTCTAACTATGTCTCACCACCAGGAACAAAGCATCTGCCCCTTCCACAAACCAACACAAGGGTCTCAGCAAAATCATTGTCGAACTACCTTATTTACTGTGTGCTATTGTTAATCCCTATTACCTCTTCATAGTCATTCTCAGGGGTCAGAAACTGGTCAGTGATGGTCAAACTGTGTCCTAGCTGCCGGCTGAGCGCGTCCAAGAATCGGTCTGTATCTCGAGAACGATTTGGCCTCGAGAAAGTGAAAATCTTCCTGTGCGTTGGGGAAGGGGGGAGGCTGCCATCCAGACTGACATAAGGGTTAGATTCAGAGCTGCTGGGTGAAGGGGCGCTGGGAGGCCGCGGAGGACACGGGTCGGATGGAGGTGCAGGATTTTTCCATGGGTGTCTTTGAACCAACTTCCGTTCTCCTGGTAAGAAGCAGAAAACACAACATAAATCATCCAAATAACACATAGAGCACAATAATGCAAACATGACAAGTGAAGCAGCCTATAGCAACCATCTGTCATTGTGCTGGAAGCTGTAAATGAGTTATAGGTAGAAAGTAAATAAAATAATCCTGATAGTCAAACAATACACATACCTGTTGTATGATAGAGGTTGCATGACGCCCGAGACCTCATACTGCTCACTTTTCCTGGGTAACTGTTAATAAAACGATTTTCCAGCTCAGCATACACTGCCGACATCTAGACAGAAAAAGGACAGAGGTGTCTTCTGCTGCTTTCTGAAGGCAAGGTCTATTTTAATAAGTTATATTTGTGGATCTAAAATGTGCTTTAGTAACAAGCTATAGAAAAGCCCTTGATCTAATGCCCTTGTAAAAATTCAGTAATACATGCCAGAATAGAATGAGTATTACATCTCTATGTAAACAGGATAGGTATCAGCAACCTGTGGCCCACCCACTCTTATGGACCCGCACATGCTAAGATCCTTAATCAGTTGCTGGATGCCTTACAATTCTGGAACATGTACCTTCTTAATGACCAGAGGCAGCCATTGGTTGCCCATTCCCAGGAGAAAGCACAGAGCTACTTTTTATATAAAACATTTATGCCATAAAGGCCTCTCATAAAAAAAACAACCATATGCAGTAAACATTAACAAGATAATCATATAAAATATACCATTTTTGGGTTGGGAGTTTCTGGCAAAGATGTCCCATCTCCGGCTTGTCGTTCTCCATGGACCACCCGGGGAGCAACTTCCATTGGGTCACACTTAGCTACTGAGCAAGGGAAGAAAGGGAAAATAAATGTATGGGTAAAACAGGAACTTCCTTCAGGTGATTTGTATGTTTCAATAAAAGAGATCATACTGTATAAAGATTCCCTCAGTGGGTTCACGAATAACTTAACAATGTTCTTTAAATTCATGTTCTTTTAAGAATTGTCATTGAGTCAACCAGTTCCGGTTTCCTTTTGTTTTGAGTCTCTTGCTGTCTTCTGTTAGCTCTGGGCTCAGACCAACTCAAGAGCATTTGAAAAGTCTATGCTTGAACCAGCATTCACACGGAATAGAGCTGACCCATGCCTAACACCACAGGCTAACCAATTCCTTCTTTATTGAACTGGTAAAGGAGGCCCTTGGGCTGAATCTCACTCGGTTAAAGCCATGGCGGAGTGGATTTCCTGAATTTTACTCATCAGGAGTGACACTAAGGGGCTTATTTTTGGGAAGATTTTTTCTTCACTTACTGTCTAGAGGCACAACAGAAAGGGAAGAGGAGATCTCTGTTTGCATGGCACTACTGCGACTGGATGGCACTGAGGAACATAGGGAATTCCTATATTCTTCATTGTCATCTAGAATATTATATTTTTTTCACAGAAAAGGTTCTTTGTTTATTAAAGCGGAACAACAGCCTCCTATGCCTTACAGCCAAGTAGGGTACCATCTTGGATACTATCTGGATTGCAGTCGCCATGGTGCTGCACATGTGATCAGCTATGGCACCAGCCATTTGAGGGCTTGTAAGTTCAGTTGAGAGCTTAAAAAAACACACTGGCAACCTTGACAGTTGGCAGGCCTTAAAAGTGACTGTTTTGGGAGACATTCAATTGGTGGGTAAAGTTCCTCTTGAAGTGTGCAGGGAGAAGAAGGTTCAACAGACATTTACCCCTTCAGTGTCACCAGTGCCACATCCTTTCCATTTGCATAATTTGTATATAAGCCGGAATAAAAACGTACCCGATTTTGCTTCTCCGGCAGCTCTTATGCTCCCCTGATACGTTGCCTGTCCATGGACGGAGCCCCGGTGTGGTGCCACAGTATCTGCATCCATGGCAGCTGCACAGAATTGGTAAAAGTCAGTCAAGTCATATGTGAGTTTATCCACATAACAGAAGAGGATTCATTCCTCTGTGCTCTGTTAGTTACCCCAGAGGCTGGTGACATCTCATACAAAAGTACTCAGGTACACAATATAGGAGTGACTTCCTGAAGAAGGACTAAAGCTAGCCATACACTGGTAGATTTTATACAAAACTTCATATGAAAAATCTGGTGAGAATCCAATTAAATTTCTTTATCGGAATGACTGGAAGAAAACAGTGGATTGTATTTTGCAGTTGTTTTAGGAGAATGGTTATTATAATCAGGGCTGCCATTAGAAATCATGGGACCCCGTACGGCCCACCCAACAGGGCCCCTGCCTCAGACAGGGTCCCCATTCATGCGTTAATCACACAGTTTTGCTACCGTGCAACACACCTACCATGCATTACAGTGCCATGGTGCTTTGCCATTCATTTGAATGGCACCTCAAATGCACCTCCCAGTCACAATGTATTTGACTATGAGTTGTGGCATGTTGGAAAAAAATAGTGCATGCTTATAGGGCCCGTTCCCGCCATATGCGTTCGGGCAGTGCTGGCAATAATAATCTGTTATTGCTGCATTGAGGGAGTTATTTATTATTGCTGCCTGGGGGGGAAATATTAATAATTATCAAGAATTATTAAAAAATAACCCCTGGGCAACAATAATAATCCTCCCACTTCCCTGCAGCAAAAATCGGTTATTATTACTGCCCTGGGGGTGGATACATACTGTTTCGTGGGGAGGGATTACTATTGGTGCCTTCACCTGTTAGTTCAGGGCGAGTGCACTTCTCACCCTCTTGATATCAATCCGTATGCTGGGGTGAATTCATATTCTCAGCGCTGAGGCGGCCCTGGGGAGGCCGGCACGAAAACGTAATTATCAGTTGCTGCAGCTACCAGTATTCCTCTGCGGCAGCCGAAAATGATAAAATAGTCCCCTTTCTCCTGCTGTTAGTTCAGCAGGGGGGCCCGGGGAGAGAGGGGACTATATCATAATTCACTGGAGTGGGCCTCTCTGTCCCCGGGCCCCCCTGCTACCCAGGCCCAGTACAGGAGGGCTGTCTCTAACCCCCTATCGGTGCCCCTGATTATAATATATATATATATATATACACAAAATTGCCAAAAGTATATATAAATATAATATTCTACTATATTAGAGTGATCACTCACTTCTTCTGTTATCTTTTACTTTGGAATTGTTTTGTACTTATTGCTTATAGTCACTAAAGATACTATTGGAGACTGGTTCTCTTCAAGCTAATGGCTGTTGGTGTTTGTGACATTGAAAAGCCACTTATTTCCCATGATGAGCTAAAAAAATTAAAACTAGCTAGGCAGATCTTGCAAGAATTCCATCCTCTCATCACATGAACACGAGGACCAGTGTACAGCAGGAAACACCACGTTGTGGACTGAAGTGCTGTCCCCCATTTTCATGTGACAACAACGATATTTACTCTTGTACTTATGAGATGATGGGTTTCTTTAGTTCTATATGGGATTTACAGGAGAACAGAAGAACGGTCACCAGCACTCAGTACTCAGGTTGGGTCTTTTTAGTTCTGTATGGGATTCACAGGAGAACAGAAGAAAGTTCACCAGCACTTGGTAATCAGGTTGGGTCTTTTTAGTTCTGTATGGGATCCACAGGAGAACAGAAGAAAGGTCGCCAGCACTCAGTACTCAGATTGGGTCTTTTTACATATGAATGGGATCCACAGGAGAACAGAAGTAAAGTCACCAGCACTCAGTACTCAGGTTGGGTCTTTTTAGTTCTGTATGGGATCCACAGGAGAACAGAAGAAAAGTCACCAATACTCAGGACTTCAAGTTGCAAAAAAGACCGCACATGGCTCCTGACACAGCAACAATATTACATACAGAAAGGCATATATACAGTACATACAGTACAGAAGACCCAGTGACGAACACAACTCTTTGACATCATAATGTTATGTTATGCTTACATGAGGTCTCTTATATGAAATTATTGAGTGTTTTTGGTGGGATTATGACATGTTTCCTTGATGAAGGCCTTGCACGGTCCTGAAAAGTTGCCTTTTTGGACCTATGTGTTGCTCTACCAATAAACTAAGGTACTTTTTGCAACTTGAAGTATTGAGTGCTGGTGACTTTTCTTCTATTCTCCTGTGGATCAACACCGCGCCATCCATGATTGTCACGACAAGTGTCATCATATCCATTTTGAATGCTATGCTGTATGTAGCACATCTGGTATCTGCATTCGGCATGGGATCCAGACACGCCAGTTGTAATGCAAAACTTAATGTCTGAAAACACTCACAAAGCCTTATCAGTACTTATCACAGATATTGATAGGTCCAACCAAACTTCACCCACATAATTAGGCCATAAGGTATGTGACACAATTTGTCCCCATTTTGGAAGTGAACATTGTGAGGTATGACATTCTGCAGTTCATGACTGTACGCTGGTAGATAAGGGACTTAAAAGCTTATTTCATAGAGCTTAATAACATCCCTAAAATGGATATTAGTAATCAGCCAGAATGGCCTGCCCCCCACACAGGCCCAGGGCTTAATGGTTTTATGTAAGCCACTGAGCTACGGAGAAGCGTAGATTATGTTTCATCAGAGACAGTTAAAGGTTGTGAAAGTTCCATTAGGTCATGTGACGAGGGCCTCACAACAAACAGGATTTAAGCTGGTAATCCATGCGATGGATGTCTACTTGCCATCGCAATGGGGGGAAGGTTACTGAATGACTTGTCAAGTAAAGAGATTAGGCATTTCTGGTGATTAAAGGGGAAGTCCATCTATGTATGAATGTTCAAGGAGAAGTCAATTTAAAGCACATCAGTCAATAACATTAAAGGAGATCTAAAGTCACATAATCTACTATTCTGTTATAACATCAGCATTGTAATAGGAATACATTCTAGAGTTGTGTTTGATAATGCAATCAAAGCTTACTTGTATAAATGCCTTTTATGACCCTTGAGTGTGTTGTAAAGTAGTCAACTCTCCAAGCTCGCTCCCGGGATGGACTACAATCTCATGTTTAGTTTACCCATTTGTACTGAGATTGTAGTCCATCACAGGAGTGAGCTTGGAGCGGTGACTACTTCTCTGCAGCTCTGCTTTACAGGTGTGACTAATGTGAAAAGGTGTAACCAGGCCATTACCCTGTGGACCATGGTCCATACAAATATGGCTCTGGTAGTCATTTACGGGGCTGAACATGGAAAAACAGAGCAGGGAGATGTCACGTGATCCAGTTTTGGGTATTAAAGGGTCAGTTCATCTTTCCATCACCTGCCTGGTGCAGAATTTTCTCCAAGCAAGGTGGGTGTTTCAGCCTACCCGTGTTCTACAGCATAATAAAAAGCAGCCATCAGGTTTCTAAAAATTATGCCTCATATCCATGTATAGCTGTGGGCCCCCCACCATCCTACCCAAATGGCAGGAAGGGCTGGCCACTGGACATATTGTCCCAATGGATGCAGGAACAAGTGCTCTGGCTTGTTCAGCAAAGGTACTTTATTTTTGGAACGGTGATGTAGAGGTGAACTAACCCTTTAAGGTTGACCATTGATGAGCACAGTGGAATGGGCTCAGTCATGGAGCTCTCTGACCTGCCTTGTAGCCCAGGAAGCGAGCGATTTTGTGTTGGCAGTGCTCTTGCTCCTCGTAGGTCAGCAGCTGGAAGATGAACTGCCAGATGATTTGCTTGGCTGGAGTGTCCAGGACGGGGTAGATGTCCACGATCAGGGTGTCAATGTTTCTGCAAAGAAGAGATCACGGATTGGTTGACCTCTGGCAGTGGATTGTGATGTTGATGGATGTGGAAAACAATATGTGGATCATAGGGAGCAATGTACACACACTGAGCTCATAACAACCCGAAAATACCCTAAACACACAGTGATGTGATGTGGAACTGATTGTGATCTCAGCACACACTGCGCAAATGAAGAGAGAGTGATCAGATATAAAATAAATATTATAACAACACATATTACATTCTATAGAATATTAGGAGGATGGAGGATGGACACAGAGCACATACAACATACACTGCACAAACCACACATAGCACACAACATACACTGCACAAACTGCACAGAAACATACATTGTCCAAACCACACAGAGCACACACAACATACACTGCAGAAACCGCACAGAGCACACAACATACACTGCACAAACTGCACAGAAACATACATTGTCCAAACCACACAGAGCACACACAACATACACTGCAGAAACCGCACAGAGCACACAACATACACTGCACAAACTGCACAGAAACATACATTGTCCAAACCACACAGAGCACACACAACATACACTGCAGAAACCGCACAGAGCACACAACATACACTGCACAAACTGCACAGAAACATACATTGTCCAAACCACACAGAGCACACACAACATACACTGCAGAAACCGCACAGAGCACACAACATACACTGCACAAACTGCACAGAAACATACATTGTCCAAACCACACAGAGCACACACAACATACACTGCAGAAACCGCACAGAGCACACAACATACACTGCACAAACTGCACAGAAACATACATTGTCCAAACCACACAGAGCACACACAACATACACTGCAGAAACCGCACAGAGCACACAACATACACTGCACAAACTGCACAGAAACATACATTGTCCAAACCACACAGAGCACACACAACATACACTGCAGAAACCGCACAGAGCACACAACATACACTGCACAAACTGCACAGAAACATACATTGTCCAAACCACACAGAGCACACACAACATACACTGCAGAAACCGCACAGAGCACACAACATACACTGCACAAACTGCACAGAAACATACATTGTCCAAACCACACAGAGCACACACAACATACACTGCAGAAACCGCACAGAGCACACAACATACACTGCACAAACTGCACAGAAACATACATTGTCCAAACCACACAGAGCACACACAACATACACTGCAGAAACCGCACAGAGCACACAACATACACTGCACAAACTGCACAGAAACATACATTGTCCAAACCACACAGAGCACACACAACATACACTGCAGAAACCGCACAGAGCACACAACATACACTGCACAAACTGCACAGAAACATACATTGTCCAAACCACACAGAGCACACACAACATACACTGCAGAAACCGCACAGAGCACACAACATACACTGCACAAACTGCACAGAAACATACATTGTCCAAACCACACAGAGCACACACAACATACACTGCAGAAACCGCACAGAGCACACAACATACACTGCACAAACTGCACAGAAACATACATTGTCCAAACCACACAGAGCACACACAACATACACTGCAGAAACCGCACAGAGCACACAACATACACTGCACAAACTGCACAGAAACATACATTGTCCAAACCACACAGAGCACACACAACATACACTGCAGAAACCGCACAGAGCACACAACATACACTGCACAAACTGCACAGAAACATACATTGTCCAAACCACACAGAGCACACACAACATACACTGCAGAAACCGCACAGAGCACACAACATACATTGCACAAACCGCACAGAGCACAATTATTAAATTAAATAATTCCTCTACTCCTGTTAGGATGACAACTGTGAATTTTTGTGCTCACGCTCTGAATAGTCACCATGGTGAATAGTGAGGGCAGATCTCCTCTATGTGACGACAACCAGAAATACAACCCTGACACAGGATTCATCATTTCCACACTCAACCCAAATCCAGAAAAGAAAGCTTTGTCTGGGGTTCCACTTTATATAAGTCACATTGTGACTCTGATACATCGGGCGCACTGCCGCACTATGATGGGTTTATATGAACGCAGGTCACCTTTACAGTAATTGGGACCATGTTCATCTGCCAAATCTTCATTCTGACCTTCAATCTAATTCATATGTATAAATATATCCAAGGTCAAAAGCAATATTCGACAAATGAATTTTTTATTCCAAGGACTGCACAAAGGAGATGTCAGTAATGGAGGAAGGAGATGTTACCGTCAGTATGATATCTGTATAGTAAGTGGTTAAAGTGATCCTTTTAGTAACTTTACATCACATGAATACATTCTTCATGAATAAATTCCTTCATCTGCTTTTCACTCTGTCTTTGTTCAGTCATCATCCAAGTTCACTGCTTACTTCCTGGATTGAGATGCTGGCTCAGAGATGGTGCAATTATATAAATCCTGGTGTCTGTGCAGTTCTTGGCTGTATTCACAAATGTCTGAATCAGATCAGCCTCTGCTGTAGCCTCTCACCTTGTGACTTGCTGCAAAGTTACAATGTTGCATTCTGATCATTGGGGAGAAAAGACTGAGGAAATGCTTCCTCCTGTCTGCAGCAGACTGATGACATCATCTCAGTCGACTCTAGGCAATGCCACCTGACTGATGCCCCCCACTGACCTGGTGCTTTTCATGGTGCTACAGTCTCTTTTGTAGTAATGGCTGCCTGAGCAGACAACTGCCAAGCATTAGCGCTGTCACATGCTCCCCGAATCCTAGAACAAATGACATTTCCCTTTGCTAACAGCGGCCGAGGAGAAGCAAATAGACATGTAAGCTGCGGAAAAATTCGGTTCAGATATTTTGTTATTTCGGGATTCGGATCCAAAATTCAATTCGGTTCGGGTTTCGGATTCAGATGAAATCCGAATATTCGTTAGTTTTGGATGAGTTTACGAATATTCGTTGCGAATACCACAGAAAACCATATACCATATTAATACTAAAGCTTAATCTCCTAGACCCGAATGGCATTCAGGATCCGAATTTCCAAATTGCATTGTGGAGTTCCCGAATGCCATTCGGGTCTGGGAGTCATATACATATATTACTAAAGCTGAGGCTCCTAGACCCGAAGGGCATTCAGGAACTCCACAATGCAATTTGGAAATTCGGATCCTGAATGCCATTCGGGTCTAGGAGCCTCAGCTTTAGTATTGTATGTATATACTGTATATGGCTCATCCGATTGGCCAGAAAAGTCACATGTCCGATTCAGTTTAATTTTTGAACGAAATTCGGAAACAAAAATTCGGGTTCGGACACATTCGGATGCATTGGGATTCGGATTTGTCCGAATGTCTGAATTTCTGAAAATCCATCCGAATTTTGATCCGGAACAAAAGAATTGCACATGTCTAGAAACAAAGAAAAGTGAGTATGTAAATCTGGGGTGAGCAGACAAGTGAACCTGTTCCTCTGCGCCGCATGAGCACTTAACCGTTCTCGCTGACACTTACCCCAAAAGCCCAATCGAACTTTCAGTTTAAATCAGCCAAAAATATTCCGGGGACATCAAAACAAAATGTGTTCAATGACTTACATTTCGTTTTTTCTAAAGCAGCTACATCCTGAGTGGCAAATCCTATCCCCTGTCAGCATGCTACAGGGAGGGACCATTGCTGTCTGTGCAGAAGCAGCGGCCTCTCCGTAGAGGCCCATCACACCCCTCAACAGTGGCATTCTACAAATTTCTTTCCGCACAGGTTTCCTTTAATGCCCAATTGAACTTTCCGTTTAAATCAGCTAAATATATTCCAGGCGCATCAAAACAAAACGGTGTCCAAAGTCTTACAGTTTATTTTCTTAAGAAAACATCCACAGCCCGAGTAGAAAAGTCTGTCCCCTGCCAGCATGCTGCAGAGAGGGACCCGTGCTGTCTGTGTAGAAACAGCGGTCTCTACTTAGAGGCCCATCACACCCCTGAGTCAGACCCATATCTCTGCTATCAGCAAAACTCATGCTCCCTGCTGATTGGAAAGCTATGGGTTTGGTTCAGCAGGGGACATGTCGGACCACTGCAGAGAGACCCCTGCTTCCACAGCATGCTGGCAGACCACAGGCTATTCTATTCAGGCTGTGGCTGCTTTTTTAAAGAACATGAACTGCATTTTTTTGTTTTAATGCACCTGGAAGATATTTAGCTGGTTTACAATGAAAGTTTTAACACTTACAACCTGTCCAACACTTGACCCCAAAAAAAGCTAAGTCTAAGGCTAGCCATACACGCTTCAATTTCTCTTATTCAGCCCGTGGGCCAAAAGAGAAAATTAAGCTTGTATGGCTAGTTTTTGGCTTAGATTTTTTTTGGGTCAAGTGTTCGGCTTTAGGCTTGGCTTTTATAAACAGCTTGGATAGAGGAATCTCCCCTGCCAGTGATTACATTCAGGCAGCTTGCATCCGCGGCTGTCTACATACCTGAACAGTGACTGCATCTGATCGGAGTCTTGTTTGGAGGCCTTGTCTCCACCCCCTCTTGTAATAAAGACCGGTCATTGCTGGTCTCTCTCCTTGTGCAGGGTGACTGGTCTTGTCTCTACTCCCTCTTGTAATAAAGCCCGGTCACTGCTGCTCTCCTTATGCAGGGTGACTGGTCTTGTCTCCGACCCCTAGGGTAGTTTCTGCAGTCAGCCTGTAGTGGGTGGGGCCTGCTGGGTCCCTCCCACAGCTCTGCTCTCTGCACAGGTTATCTGCAGCCCAGTGGTGATGTCACTGCTACTTTTAAAAGCTAATATCCGGGTTTGAAAACGCATTTGTTGCACACAAAGTGGAATTATACCATTTATGGCTATTGCGGATTATATTTGGAAATGAAAATATTTGTGGCCGGAGTTCAGCTTTCACCCCTATTCTGCACACACTCACCAGTGCCAGAAGCCCCTGAAAAACAAGTGATGGGTGATTGCCATTACCTGTGCTGGAAGAAGCTCTCCAGCCCTTTGCAGATCGTGTACCGCTCGGTGGGAGTCAGAAGGTGTTCCAGTTGTTGGCTAAAACTGCGTCCCTGGATGCGAATGTTGGAGGGAAGGATTTCTGCCACCCACTGGAGAGATGTGAGAGCAGATGTTGGTACGGCGGTCTCTGAATCTGAGTCTAAAAACAGCAGAAAAAATGTGCTAATGTAATTATAAACTTTTAGCTTTCGGATTCTCAAAACTTTATTTAATGACGCGAAGAGAAGCGGAACAGAAATCCGTATATGTTAACATTTGTTGTTCATAGCAATAGGTCATGTGTTTTTATTCTGGACCCTACCTTGGTGAAATACTAAAAGTGAATAATTGATATGATGACAACACAAGATGTCTTCCTCTACATCTTCAGCACCATATGACATACCTGTATGTCCTGGTCTTGAAGTGGTTGATCATGCTGCAGCCATGGTCTTGGTGTCATCTTTTGCAGCAGGCGGTGCTTGTTAATTACAGGTGATCTGAACAGCTGTACAGCCCCCCAGATCACTTGTACCAGCCTGCTAATATGCCAAATCTCCCCCCTCCCCTGCACCCCCTTGCCAAGGTTTTCGGGGTCCCTTGCTCCTCTGGGGGCAGTGTGAGGATGGACAGCAGACCGAAGAATGTCCATTCCCTGATCTTCTCTGTGATCAATGAAGCTGGAAGCGCTGTGCTCTCTGCACTTTCTGTTACACATGTAAGCTGTGGAAAAATTCGGTTTGGTTCGGTTTGGATATTTCGGGATTCGGTCCGAAATTCAATTCGGTTCAAAACGTCATGTCATCAGAACTCTTACACCGGTCCCTTAAGCCTCGCTCCCCTTCTGCTCCTGTGGTCAAAGGTCCAGTGAGCCATCACGTTCTATACAGTGCATAGGATGTGAGGACGCCAAGGAGCATTTCAATCGCTGCAGCGGAGTGGTAGAAAGACTGGAAGGCGTGCTCTAAGAGCAAGCTGGCTCCGAGGATCGGTGAATATGTTATTTTTTAACCCAGACAAAAATAAGCACTTAACCCTGGCAGTGCGAGGGTAACGCCACTGCAAGGGTTAAGAAAAAGTTTTCCCGGAGATCTGCTTTAATGACTAGTAAGATAGAATATATCACATTTGTGTTCCTGGGTTCTGATACACTTTAAACACTGATTTTAGAGCACGGCCCTGCAGATCAGCAGCTCTCTCTCTCTGTGGAAGTAAATAACCTCTTCTAATCTAATTAGGTCTTTTAATAAGGCTGTGCAAGGAAGCATCGGAAACCGAGTTTCACATTTGCTTGAACAGTCAACACAGCGAAAGATGATTACTAATTAGCGGTCTGAGGTTCCTGCACTGAGGTCGGCGATCTTTGTCTTCAGGGAAAAGCTTTGCTGATCCTCACCTGCGCAGTAAGATATGCTCCCCTCTTCCACCACCAAGGTAGGCATGGCTCCGCTCCCCTGCAGCATGCAGACCACCTTCTCATGACTGCAGTTCCTGATGAGAAAAGGGAGGGGGGACAAAGCTTAAATACATTTTAAAGTTGAAGCCTCACTTTTTTTTCTCTTCATAGTCCTCTATAGCCACATTATGATATCTAAATGATTTGCACCTGCACATGATTTGAAAATGCCCAAAATACCCTTTTTAGCTACTGAAAATGTACTTTATGCTCTCCCCTCCAGTGCTCTGTGCCGACATAGGTGAGTAACAACCACCATATTATTCATATTACATAGTTTTGGTAAATCTTTGATTGTGCGGTCAGATTGTAACGTGTAGGGTGACCCTATAAAGGGAGGGCGGATGACATACCAAGACAAGCCAACATTTCTCAACCTTTTTGCCAGTCGCGGCAGCCTTAAAAAGTATGCAAAATCTTGAGGCACTCCAGTCTAAAACGTAAGGGGGCACCCCATGCAAAAACACATGACAAAGTGGGGTTTGATTGCATCAAAACCCTCCTTTCACATCAGAAATCTCCCTTACATATCAGAGTCCCCCTTTACATCTGTATCCCCCCTTCACATTAGAAGCCCCCTCCTTTTACACCAGTAGTACACCTTTACATTAGAAGCCTCCTCCTATTATATCAGAGCCCCCCTCCTTTTACATCCTTAGCGCCTCTTCACATTAGAAACCCTCTCATTTTATACCAGAGTACCCCATTCTTTCACATCAGAAGCTCCTCTTCACATTAGAAGCCCCCTCTTTTTACATCAGGGTACCCCATTCTTTCATATCAGAAGCACCCCTTCACATTTAAAGCCCCCTCCTTTTACATCAGAGTACCCCATTCTTTCACATTAGAAGCCCCCTTTATATCAGAGCCGCCCTTCACATCAGGAGCCCCCTTTATATCAGAGCCCCACTTTATATCAGAATCCCTCCTTTTACATCAGGATTCCCCATTCTATTATGACAACACAATTAGTTTTGCAAATAAAGTGGTGCACTATATTTCTGATGACTTGTGTAGGGTAAGTTTATAATTCAGAAGCACTATCATGAAACCAAAACTTCAGAATTGCTGGCAGGGAATGGTCTATTGGTCACTTGTCATTCGGGAGGCGGGAATGATCCTGGACCATGCCGTCAGCGGCTCTTTCCAGTGTCCCACCTGGCTAACTGAAATCACTGGTTGCCAAGAGCATTCCACGCTCCTGGCAACCGGTGTCGACAGTGAGCTGGGTGGGAAGCCACACATAGCATCACATGTTGCTAAGAGCTCTTAGCAAGCTGGGATGCTCTGGCCACCACTCTGCCGCACCCCCCACCACCACCGTCCGGCTTGTACCCAATGAGATGCCACCTGACGCAACATTATAGGTATGGCCCTGGTCGGGGCACAGGTTTATAAGACACATTTTAGAACGAGACCCTATTTCCTTACAGCATCATCTGCAGCACAGTCATAACAAACACTTCATTATCCTCCTCACCTCATGTCCAAGCCATTCAAGAACAAGATTCTGTCTCCAGGTCGGAGATTGGCTGCATCTGCAGGGCTGCCTGGAAAAGACAAGTCATTATAATCTGACATCTAAGACACATGCTTTATATACTCATCTGCTGCCCTGTGCTGACTGTAGGAAAGTGGAATAATTGCCGGGAGCATGTTCTCACAATCAGCCAGGTCTCTAATTATCCAATATACTGCCAAAAACAAGATTTAAAATTCTTGATGTCCTGGCAAAATAATACTTGCATATTAGGAGGTAATTCTGTCACACTTTGGACCTTTGGATGGGCTTTTGCTTGCCCGTGCACATGTCATCACACGTCTATGGGAATGCAAAACCCACTTGAAGCAGGTCACTTGCAGTTCAGAAGCAGGTCAACTGCAGATCAAATACACCTGTCAATGAATTCTGAATGACCCCAGAAGCATCCCAAACTGATCTCTAACTAAGCCCCAAGCCCATCAACACAGGCCCTTTAAGTTACAAAATACATGTACAGTAAATGCTAATGAACATGAGAAATCTGTGAAGCATATCCTGGTCCCCTAATGTAAAGCAGAATATAATTCAGGGCCTTGGCCACATACAAGAGCAAATCTAGAGGTTTTTGGCCACTCAAAAATGTGAGCCGCTTTTCACTTTCCAACAAGAGAAGGGAGCTGCGGCTGGGGGTATAACACAAATGCATTGGAGTAGCAAGTGAAAAACTTCTTCTACCTTTATTACAGAAGTTGCTTCTCATTTTTATGCAAGGCAGTAGGAATATTACGGATGTAAAGGACTTTTAGAATGTTACTACGTGTCTGCTTTTATTTTTTATCCTCTGGCTTTTCTGAGAGCAGCATGAATATTTTTAAGCTGATGTAGAACCTGGCTCTCAGATCTTCTGATGTAGGTAGGGATGAAGCTGGAGAAGGGAATATTTGAAGAAGAAGGAGGGTTGCAGAGAAGATGCGTATTACATTACAGGCTGGGTAAGTGTGAGGGAGCTTTAGCATTCTGTATATCATCATTAAAGCCCATCTACGGGCAAACCAAAAAACTACCCTTGTAGTGTTTGCGATGCAAAGGGGTAAGTGCTTATTTTTGTCTAGGGGACAGGAAAAAGCTATTTTACTTACCTGATCCCCACTTCCTTTGATCTGCTAGACTGGTCGCCGCAGCCTCTTCTCTCCCAGGCTCCAAGGGTCTAAGGACTATTGATACATCACATTCCATAGACTTGCAGCAGACATGAGGACATCAAGGGACATTCCAAAAGCCAAAGTAGAGGGGGTGAAGAAGTGAGCGCTGACTGCCGGGGGAGCGTGAATCAGTTAAGTAAAAGTGCTTTACTCCAGTCCCCTAGGCATAAACAATCACTTAAACTTTGGAGTGTATGCGGTAGCCCCACTGCAAGGGTAGTTTTTTTGGTTTGCTCAGAGATGGGCTTTAAGGTTAAGTATGGAATGTGGGCTATGCTTAGCCGAAGAGAAGTATGCACACCGGCACTCCAGATGCAATACAAATGCATCTATTTATTGATGAAGATGCAGCATAAATCACACTTAGTGCAACGTTTTGGGGTCTTGCAGGATCCCCTTCCTCGGGCAAGACATGCGAGACCCCAAAACGTTGCACTAAGTGAGATTTATGCTGCATCTTTGTGCATAATAACGGTTGCCATCTGTTGATTAAAGGTGCACCCATGTTATCTACATGGAAAGAGCGGTCAGTAATGCGATGGGTCCACAGACTATTACCTATGCTTAGCCGGGATACCTGCCAACAAAGTCCACTTGCTCCCAGCAGGAGTTCCAACACTGGCCTGAAGCTACCCAGTTGCCCAAGGCCAATGCAGGTATCAGAACTAGCATTGCTTCTAGACATGTGCACTGCCAAAAAATTTGTTTCGTTTTAAATTCGGATTTGTGTTATTTCGTTTTTCAGGATTCGGGTGTGAAAGTCAATTCGGATTCGGAATTCGGATTCGGACGAAATTCGGTAGCGTTAGTACGAACGTTCATTTCGTTTTCTGTTCTTATTCGTTTCCTATTCGTTTCGTTCGTTTGCAGCAAAAGTGACATTTGAGGGGGAAAAAATATTTTTCTCCTCTAATGTCACTTTGCTCCAACGAACGAAACGAATAAGAAACGAATAAGAACAGAAAACGAAACGAACGTTCGTGCGAACGCTACCGAATTTCGGAAATGGAAATTCGGATTCGTTTGCATTCGTTATGTCTGTAATTCGGAATTCGGATACATCCGAATGTCCGAATTTACGAAAATTCGTCCGAATTTCGATTCGGAACGAAACGAATCGCACATGTCTAATTGCTTCCAGCTTGCTTTATTGATCCTTTCCAGCTGCTGGAAGAATAAAAACAAAACAGAACCCAACAGCGGAATACCATACCTGGCACAATAGATTCAATCCACACAGGGGCATTTCCCCGTAGAGTGAATCCAAAGCTGCTGCTTCCTTTACACACTCTCACCGTCCTAGAATAGAAAAATGGACACAACATAGGAAGCGTGAAACAAACATCTTTAAATAAAGAGATCCTGTCACCAACTTACAAAAAGGAAGGTAAAAGCACAGAAATCACAAAAATCAAGCAAATGTGTACTTGCAATGTTTTTCCTTTTCAGAAATTACTTTTTATTCACATGTAATGTGTCTTTGAACTTGCTAGACTCCAGAAGTTGTCAATTTCCTTAGCAAGTCATAGCACGTCATAGCACGTCATAGCCGTCTCCTCTTCTGAGAGTGTCTAATCATTGTCTGTGCTGGTCTAGCTTCTATTTTTTGTAGCAGCCAAGAGACAAGTGAAGGGGAATACTATATAGCCCCGTCGCCCAACCTGTAATCTGGGGGCTGCATGTTTGAACTTATTGTGTGGCCCTCAATGCCCCTAACTAGGTGCTAACTCAAACCAGTGAGGGAAACTATTCTTTAGAATGTCTTCCAGCATTTAACTGCTTTGGTTTATTTCCTTTGCATTGCTTATTTTTCTGTGCTGTCCATCTTTTTTATTTTTGTGTGCACTGTTCAGAACAAAAATGCCCATAAAGTTTTGAAAAGTGAAATCTGTCCACATGGTCATAACTGCGCCTACAGTTTACACATAATGTAGTATAATTAAATAGTGAGCCCCTACTATATACCCTCAATTAAAATAGCAGTCACTGGTTAAGTACCTCCAGTACCTTGCAGTCAAAGTCATAGACCCTCATGGGGCTGTGGTCAAGTTGTAAACCTGCAGCAAGGCTTAAAGAGACCTTCTCTATTAGGGTTTATGGAAAAAAGGAAAGTCACTTGAGCCAGAGTAGGCTTCAACCCTTAGATGAGGCTGCCCACTGATCTACGGTCTGTAGCTAATTTTATGAATGGAATGAGGGACAGTTAGCCCAACAAGTATTGAACTATAGTTATTCCTTAACCAGTTGACATCCGGGGTGTTAAACCCCCTTCCCATCCAGGCCATTTTTCAGTATTCAGCGCTGTGTTACTTTGACTGACATTTATTCCGTCATGCAGCGCTGTACTGAAATTAATGTTATACCCTTTTTTGGGGACAGATAGAGCTTTCTTTTGTTCACTTTCTGCTCTGAAGAAAGAACAAGAAGTATGTGGAAATCTTCCCAACGTTAGAAGAAATCCCACCATTGACCACTTTTGGACTAGCACATGCTTCTTACATCCCTGGCAGACCCTGGTAGTGAGACTCCTCATCATTCATTTGGATGTTCACCCACAAATCCACAAAAGCCGTAACAGAGGTGTTTCTCTCTTGCAGTTAGATTCTCCAAATATTTATTCTCCATTATGAAGAGTCCATTATGAAGAGTCATGGGTCTTTGGGTGGATGTGTGTATCATGGTGGAGATATTTCTCCAATGGAGTGCGCGAGAGAAATAAAGCCGGTATTGGGTGGAGATTGGGTCTTTAATAATGTTTTAGCATGCAGGAAGTAGGTGTGTAAGTGAAGTGCTGCTGACAGGAAAAACTGCATGGAGAATACCTTGTGTATTATCTCTTGGGATTCCAGTTGGTGACTGTGCCTACCCCAAAGGCAAGAGACCCAGTCTGTTTCCTCCTTTTCTTTTGAATTACTATATGTATCTACAGTACATCATTGTCCAAAGAAATGCTGCCCTTTCACCCTTACGGGCCTAGCCATAGACCGAGCTGTACGACTAAGCGCCTATGTTTGTAATGCGTTAGAGGTAGGAAGCTATTCAATGGGGACCATACCATGATGGCTGTTGGACGAAATAAACTATATGTACATGAATGAGCACTGGGCGGCATTTCTTTGGATGGTGTTATTACAGAGTGTGAATGGCTACTGGCCAGCACCTGGAATTAATCCGGGTGATGGAGCTGGATGGACATTTCTCTATGCCTGTACAGTAAATCATTGTTGCATTCCCAGACAAATATCACCCACTGTATCCTATGTCAGACCCTCCTTCCCCTCCATAAAGGACATTTAAACCACTGTTAGTACCTGTGTGGCTTTCCTGCGCCCACGCTGCCAGCTATTAGTGAAGTGCTCTTCTTCAGTCCCCTGCCCAGCTCATCCTGGCAGTGTGGCATTTGTGCTGCTTTTGTAGACACCAACAGCCTCTCATGATGGTCCTCACTGCGGCTTCTCCGTAGGCGGTTGCTGCGCTCGGTCCTGGATCGACAGATCTTGCTGATGAGACTCTGGGACACGACATGGTCAAAACGCTGCCGATGCTTCTTGGGAATAAAGATTCTGTTGAAATAAGAAACACAGCGATGAGATCTGGCCCAGCAATCTGCACATATAGGCCACAAAATAAAATTCATTGTTGCATTACCAGACATATTAAATTGGTGCCTTGCCCATCTTTATAGACAGGTAGCCAGTGGAATGAAAATTACTAATAGTAATAGTCATTACTGACAATTTTGGAAAGTTCTAAGGCTGCTATGCTTGTCCTTTTCTTTACTACTTGGTAAGGACAAGCTTGCAGCAAGAGAAATAGAGGAACATATTTGCACATGGACAGTGACTCGCGAGGAAGTGAGAAGTGGATAAGGATAAATCCTCTGGATCAGGCACCTACAAAAGCAATTTAGGAAGAGCAGCTCCCACGATTTACTTTAAGGCATCCTTTTTCTGGCTTAATCCATTAAAGGGTCTCAATGGCTTTGCCCAACAAAATGTGCTCTACTAGCTTCATTTTTACTAAGGCAACTAGCTGATAGTTCTCCAGACCAACCTTTCTCAACCAGGGTTCCTTCTGGCTTCCACAGGGGTGCTTTGAAATTCTGTGATGGAAGGTGTCTGATGCAAAGGTGGGGTTGAGGACTCTTATGTGAAGAGGGCTTCTGATCTGAAGTGGAATCCAAATGTGAAAGGGGATCTCTGATGTGATAGGGGGCTTTCATATAAAGTGAGGACTCTGATGTGTAGGGGGGCTTCTGATGTGAAGAGGGCTCCTGATGTGAAGGAGGAGCTTGTGATGTGAAGAATGGAATCTGATGTGAAATGGGGCTCCTGATTTGAAACAGGGCTTTGATGTGAAGGGGAACCCCAGCTTTTTTGTGTGTTTTGTGTTAGGTCCTCCTTAAATTCCATTCCATTTTAGACTGCGGTGCCTCAAGATTTTGCATACTTTTAAAGGGTGCCTTGACCGAAAAAGGGTTGAGAATGGAACAAGTAAACATATTAACGTGCATAAACAAAAACCGAATGCAGCCACCACAATATGTAGCTGCATAGTACAGTTTTTGTTTTTGATTTAGATATTTTTTAAAGCTTAAAGTAGAACTGAAGCCCAAACTTTTTTTTATAGTTTTGGATAGAGTAAGAGAGAGTTATAACCCCTGCCTGTTTTTTTTTGCCATCTGTGTTCCCTTCGCTTCCTGTGTGATTAGCGTCATGTAGTCGAATGTACAGAAGGCTGGGAGAGGGAGTGGCAGCTCTAGGAGCCAATCAAGTGTGATTCATACAAATACACCAAAAAGGAAAATGCTGATAGGAGGGAAGAACAGCAGGCTTATCAGTCTCCTACTCTTCCATTACTGTCGAATCACAGGCTGGAGGCAAGCAAGTGACCAGACTATATTGCTTAACTGCAACAGAAAAAAGTCAGGTCACCAACCTGGCTGTGCTGTCTGGACTGGATGCACAGAAATGAAAATCCTTTGGCAGGTAAAACAGCTCCGTTATAAGTATTTCAATTCAGTATTTAGCTGGAATTCAGTTTTCAGAAGAAAATCAACCGCTAGTATGTAATCGTTCCCTAGTGGAACGCCGGTACTTCTTCTTCCAGACACTTTTTATACACAAGGACCAAACCCTCACATCTTATTTTACGGTGTCACAGCGTGACAACTGTTTTGATCCGCTGTCTCGTGTACACCCTTTCTCTCCCAAACGTTTAATTTTTCTCTCATTCCTCCTTTTCTCCTCTCCTCCCAACGGTGCTGACATTTCCACAGGGAACTGAGGCAAGCCTCAGAAGATTTGGCAGAGCTGGGCTCATCGTATAATTATCCCAGCAGCAAGATAAAAGTCAGCTTGCCAGCATGCACACACCATCCGTCAAGCCCGGGCTCTTTCTGCAGCTGCCTGTGTCTGCCACCTTGGTATTTTCAGATCAAAGGATGAAAATTCATCTCTCCGGGTTCAGACAAAGTACAAAGCTCAAAGTGTCTTGTGATTTGCTTTTGACATGTTGCAGCCTTTAAAATCGCCTTAACTAAACAAAAAAGGAAACAGATTTATACACTGTTTAAATTATTTGCTGCTTACAATGATATTAATCTCCCAGCCTGCTGCGGTGAAATCCCAATCGTGAGGAGCCGCAGAGGAGTGCCATTCTATACCAATCACAAATCTTTAATTATACACTTACACTGAGTACTATGAGGCCTGTTGCTTTACATGTGTATAGCAGTGGCATATATCTAATATAAAACTACATATATATACTGTACCTGCATACTGTATATATTATATATACCTATCAGCCATAACATTATGACCACTGACAAATAAAGTGACGTTTGCCTATGCTGACCCTTGTCCACCGCCAAAAGCGACTACAATGGGCACATGAGCATCAGAACTGGGCCATGGAAGAAGGTTTCCTGGTCTGATTAATCACATTTTCCTTTACATCCTATGGATGTCCGGGTGCTTGTGTGACGCTTATCTGGAGAAAAGATGGTACCAGGATGCACTGTTGGAAGAGGGCAAGCCGGCGGAGGCAGTGTGATGCATTGGCCAATGTTCTGCTGGGAAACCTTGGGACCTGCCATTCATGTGGATGTTACTTTGACATGTACCACCTACCTAAACATTGTTGCTGGCCAAGTATACCCCTTCATGGAAACGGTATTCCCTGATGGCAGTGCCCCCTTTTAGAAGAATAATGTGCCTTGACACACTGCAAAAATGGCTCAAGAATGGTTTGAGGAACACAACAACGAGTCTGAGGTGATGACTTGACCTCCCAAGTATTCAGATCTCAATCCCATTGAGCATCTGTGGGTTGTGCTGGAAAAACAAGTCTGATCCATGGGGGCCCCACCTTGCAACTTACAGAACTTAAAGGATCTGCTACTAATGGCTTGGTGCCAGATCCCATAGCCCACCTTCAGAGGTCTAGTGGAGTCCATGTCTCAACAGGTTAGGGCTGTTTTGGTGGCAAAAGGGTGACCTACTTAATATTAGTTAGGTGGTCAGAATGTTATGGTGTATATATTATTCAGATAAGTAGTACCAGCACTCAATCCAAGAGATATTGCCTTTGGGCTCCACACGATTGTAAAGATCCAAAAAAGGATGTAGTAGGCACTCAAAGGTCTTCTGCAGGAGTAAATGCATCAATAGTAATGTAATAAACCTATTTTGATGCATATACTCCTGTGGAAGACCCCTGAGTGCCTACCAAACTCTTTTTGCATTATACATATAAATATATTAGTGTATTCAGTACAGCAGTGAAAGCAGCTACGATGAGGTGCAAAGTACAAACCCAGAGCACAAAATGCAACAAACAGCCAAATATGTGGTAATAGTAATGATGATGAGTACAGTACCTCATAATAACCAAACAAGTTATACATTACTGAAGTCGGTTTAACCAAGGATGAATTCTGATAGGTTGCTATGAGCTGAATAAACCAACAAACTTATTTCCACCATAGTAGAGTGTTCTTCTAATCCTTACACAAGTGAGGCCACATTTTTGGGGCCAAAGATATTTGCTATTATCATCCTCCTTCCTCCTGCCATAGTAGGGATTATGGCAGAGTAAGCCGGGGTCTTCAGCTGACCTGTGTATCTCTCATGTATCATGTCAGGGGTGACAGTGGAACCACCAGCTGAGCTTGCTCCCTCAGCAGAGAGGGACCACATTTTGCTGAGGTGCATTAGTAAGAAAGGGCGGTTTCCAAGCATACATAAAACGTAGGACTACTATGAACTTTATGTTAATTTTATTGTTCCAAAGAGTTTTTATTTAAGCCAGCAGGGCTAAAGTGCTGGAGGATTACATACAGTGCAATTACTGAGAATGGCCCCTACTGTGTGCCGTTCCCTTTCCAGATAAATATTGACTGATTTAACATTTATTTCCAGTTGAACAGGCCAGATATTCTTTGGTTTAACCCATGTCCGCAGGATTCTAAGGTATTTCCATGCCAGATAAAAGATATTACTGCTACAGGCCCAACTGGAGGGGACATCCAATAAAATTCCCAAACATCCTGAACTCTACTCTGAAGAAAGGCCTGGGGTTATGCTCATGGGTGACAGAATGGTCTCCCATACAACTCATTTAGGTTCACTCCAGTTTGCCGGTGAAATATCATCCTGTGTCTCGCCATACATCGGGTATAGATCAAAATTAGGGATGCACAGATACTTTTCGAGTACCAGTGCAGATACTTGGCATTTTCATGAGAACTACCAGGGTTGCAGCGGTTGCAGCTGGCACCTGGCTCTGGCACTCCACCACTGTCCTGAAATCATTAGTCTGTATTGTTTTAGAAAAACTGTCACATGACAATAAACAAAAATGTATCAATACTCGTACCTGTAAGTACTCGGCAAGTACCAGTACTCGTACTCGCAAAACTGGTATCTGTGCATCCCTTTATTTATATTTATAAAAACAAAATCGTACATTAAAAGAGAGATGTACAAATCCCAGGAGCTCTGTGTGCTCCTTACAAATGATAGCTGCCTCCTAATTTTTGAATTTTTCTCTAGTGTAGTTTTGGAGCTCAAAATCGTACATTAAAAGAGAGATGTACAAATCCCAGGAGCTCTGTGTGCTCCTTACAAATGATAGCTGCCTCCTAATTTTTGAATTTTTCTCTAGTGTAGTCTTAGAGCTCAAAAGTATCGGTACATGTACTCGTACTTGTACCGAGTACTGTACTTGGTATCTGTGCAACCCTAATCAAAATCAAAGGCATAGAGTGAATCTTGCCGTAGTAAAGTCTCTTGTACCTTACCTCCCAAAGTTCTGTGATGAAAAAAGAGGGACACCTTGCAACACAATGTATTTAGGTGATAGACACATCCCTGCCATGCCCCCCGTTATGCGAACGATTAGGAAGCCAAAGATGACTGAAAAAACCCAGAATTGTTGTTTTCCACCATTACCTTTTCTTTATATTGGCATTTCCAAATAGCAAACAAGATATTTAAGAGATCGGATGACGGCTGAAGTGCATAATAATACTTTTGGTAGTTAAATAGAACATTTTCAT